GTGTCAAAGGCCTTGCTGAAGTCCAGAAAGACTACATCCACCGCGACACCTGCATCCATGGCCTTTGTGACCTGATCGTAGAAGGCAATCAGGTTGGTCTGACATGATCTCCCCCTAATAAATCCATGCTGATTGCCCCTGAGCATCATTTCTGATGCCGGCCCATCACAAATGTGCTCCTCCACTCCATCCCCCGAAGCTGGCGCCTGCTGCAGCCACTCAGACCCAACCAGAGGATGCTGTGCGGATTCTCAGAGCGCCTGGAACAGGCACGACATGCAGCATGCATCCTGGGCCCTGCCCACGGGACCAGTCTAGTGCATGCCATGTGCAGCATGTGGGTCAATTCAGATACAAGAACAGCACTAGGGGCTATATAATGGGGCCTGTAGGCCAGATCCAGCAGGAAGGCTGTATCTTTGACACCCCTGGCCTGCACCATTTACTACTGCTTACCAAGAGTCAGCGACAATTATTAGAATTACTTCTACAGCCTAGAAATATAGGGGAGCAGGGAGGCCCAATCTTGTGAAACCTGAGGTTATGGACAGGTGTTCAATTCTGGTGTCGGAAAACATGAAGGGGGGGGAGAAGCATACAAATGTTACAGCCCTCTGGCAAGGGAGCCTAAGGCAAGCTCTCCAGTCAGGAGGTGATAGGGAGCTGCTCCTTCAATTCCTTGTCCCCAAGGCAGACAGCTTGTCCCCAGCTGATGCCATATGGGCATCTGCCTCCTGTTCCTTGCATAGACCGGGGCCAACCCCATCTGCGCAAGGTGTGGGAGACAGAGACAGGACAGATGGACCCATCCTGCACTAGGACCCATCTGCAGGAAAATACTCCCAGCCTCAGGGTCACCTGAACATCAAGGGTAGCAGGCAGATACCCCACAGCTAAAAGAATCCTGGAGCTGCAGGACATGTCTAGATGTAGGAAAAAGCCTCCTGGTCCCTTTCTGGCACTCAGCTGATTGGATGGACAGGGCATTGCCACAAGGCTTGACCCATGGAGCCACAGGGGAATGCCCCCCCTGCATCTGTTCAGTGGCAATATCACCATAGAGTTCCCTGCCAGCTCACACTGGGCAGGCTAGCAAGATGCCTATGCTCTCCCCCATTATCTCCCTCTTGGAAGGAGGAAGAGTGAGAGAGAGGGGAAGATATGTGGTACTGGGAGTATTCCACTATCAGAAGTGCACAGGTGCTGCAGCTGGCACAGAAGGAGAGATCTTCCTCATTAGATGCAGTCATTTTTTCACGGGAGACAGTTCTCTTCCAGGAAAAAAAAAAACCCTTGAATGGCTGCACGCTCTCTCTTTATGCCAAAAGAAAATCTTCTCTCCTGGCATAAATGTAACGCCTGTCCATAGCCTAAGCAAATTGTATAGGTTCAAGAGCCCTTTTTTACATTCTTATTAGCAGGGTCACTTTTTAAGAAGGGGTATAAATCTGTGCTTCAGAAGATAAATCAGCTATTAACTGATAGGAATAATGGAGAAACTCCCACAAAGTGCAAGTCATTCCATGGATGTCTGCTACATGGTTTCTTTCAGCTTCCTCTGAAGCATTTATTAAAGGCCAACTATCAGACTAGACATCTCCACAAATCAAAGCCATACTAATTTTCAGGCTGCTATATCCAATTTTTTTTTTAAATCACTCATTAATACCATAAATGGAATCTTGTGACCTCAAAGTGCCAGGATTCTGTAGTTTAGTGCATCCAATTAAACTGAAGAGTGACAGATTCAAAACTGAAAAAAAACAAACTTTTTCATGCACTACATAATTCTGCTGTGAAACACTGTCACAGGCAGCTGTGGATGTAAGGGATATGGAGAAGTTGTCACAGCTAACAACAATTTTTGCAGAAGGAATATTAAGCCCCATGTTCTGGGCACAAACCAATTTTTAACTGTTAAAGTTCAGGTTATGAGCTAATGTGCAGGCCAGACTCTCACATGTGCATGTGTTGTAGAGATCACGCCTTCCGATGTTGTGCACTATTGGAGACAGAATACAGGACTAGGTAGGTGGTGTTTGAGTCTGAACCAGCAGGCCAATTCCCACATTTCTATTACATGGGAAAATAGACTTCCTTCATACCATGAATACTTGTATTAGAATCATTTAGTCCACTTACTTGCACAAGAGCGAATCCAGCTCATTAGATGTTAATGAACTGTGTTTCATGGGCAAACAGCTTGGGAATAATGATGTCTGGGCAAGGACCAACATGGAAAAAATACAACACAAGCAATTCACTTTCACTTCAGTCCTTGTTCTGCACTCCTTAAATCCGGAGAAGCTTATCAGAGTCTATTATATTAAATTTACAATAGATCCCAAGTCTTGAACCAAACATCACCAGGCTTCAAGTATCAAAGGTAGAAGGAAGCTTCAATATAGCAAGTTCTAGACCTGTCACAAAACTGTTCTACTTAAAACAATCTGAATCTTTGCCTGGAAGTGACATGAAGGAATCCTGAAATAAATAGAGGCTTCTGATTTAGTTCCTATTAATCCTGCAAATTATCTTTTACTAACAGAATCCAGGTTTATTATATTGAGCATAGTAGTGTAGCAGATAAGAACTGGCTACCATTCATTCAAATATTTGATAAGCCCTTCTAGTATTGCTCACTGTCTAAGCCTCAGAAGCTAAATTGTACATATGTAGCCTTTCACATAACATATTTTAGAAAACACAGCTGGATCTTACTGCTCTTGTTTTGCTCTTTATATTGTATGTGGTTGTCTTCTGCTCTTCACACAAGGGCACACCACTTCTTCCAGTCCATTTGGCAAGTGTCCACATCCATACTTCACAAGAATGATCCAAGTATGCCATTTTGAATAGAAGACCCCTACCCTACTCTCCCGACCCCGCTACTGAAACAAGAATCCTGTATGAAATCATTTCTAACTTTTCTAATAACAATAAATTATTTGGAGGTTCAGAAACCTGTATGCTGCCAATACCATTTTGAAAAAAACAATTCAAACACTGAAGCCAAGTTCAACTGGTTGTGCTTCCCCAGATTCCCTACCACGTTACTTAAATCAACCATAAGTATATGGCATGAAGCTCCATATGACATGACAATGAAGTGAGTCACTAATGTGCAGGACTGTTACTAAAATTCAGGATCAAACTGGCAGGTATTTTTAAGCTTAATCTTGAGTCATGTTGAACAAGGACAAAATATATGCATATGGTTGCTTACGTGCTCCTGTGATTTTCTCCTCTTTACAAAGACCTACTCCAATAAAGTCAAGCAAACAAGTGTTAAAAAATGATTCCCTCACTTGCTTAAGCAAGTCCTAATTAGAGGTATAAATCTCACTTTGCACATTGAAATGTACTTAGAAGACAATGTTTGTCTTGCAAAGACATATTTGCTACATCCTCCAAGCAGTGTGCAGGAGAGGATAGTTGGGGACGTACACTGTTTAACCCCTGCTCCAGTTTGTAGCGTTTACATGAAGAAAAAAAAACATGATTGTGAACAATCTGCAAGCAAAAGATAGGTCCTCCCCACCTCTCAAACTCCTGTTAAGCCATTTCACCTTTTTTCCCCCCTCTCTCTCTCCTTTGAGACACCCAGTGAAATAAAAAGCCATTCAAATAAAGTTTAGGAGAATGGGAGGAAAAAAATAGAGGTCTCAGTATCCAGTGTTGAAAAGCGGTTATGAGCCAACAACTTCTAGATTGGATTTCTCTCTCTGGACTTTACATGTATTTATTATAAGATATTTAATAAGCCAATAGTTTGTTGCTTGGTAGCTTCCAATGATCCAAAAGGAGAGAGAGAGAGTTAGCT